CTGAAATATCTATGGACCTCACTTTTCCCCTCCAAAAAGGTAACTCTAGACGAAATAAAATACGGAAAAAGCAAAGAAATTAAGAAAAAACAAGAAAAAGCAAACAAAAAATGCACCATTCGTTTGTGACCTTTAGCTATCGTGCATAATAGATTAGGGCTCTATCGAATCTTTTATTAATCAACATACTACGGTACGGCAACTTGAAACGTTTGCGAAACACACAAAAAAGAAGAAATATTGCCCAGGCTCAATGTGATACCACATTGCTCAGGTTCCATTAATGTAGGTCAAGAATTTTACAACTGTAAGAGGATTAACTATTTCATAATTTGAACTGTTTTAATTTTTTTTTTTTTTCTGATCTTTGACTGAAGCGAGTCAGAGTCATTTAGAGAAAAGACAGAAGAGAACACATTTGATTTCCGATCAAAGGTCGGGGGGAGTTTTGGGATGCTTTGAATCTCATTTTTATCGGCAAAAATCTTACTTTTTGGGGCACAATTATGCTAATTCTCAAACAAGAATGTAGCAATACAGTTAGTGGTTGCTAATCTTGTAAAAAAAACACGTTTGAAATGCGCGTTTTACAGACGCGCAAACTGTTACTTGTATAAGTCGTTAATCGTCCGTCACTCGTTTACAGATTTTCTTTTCCCGTTATGGCTGTTTTGTTGTTCTATACAGCTTAACCAGCATTAGTTCAAGAATTTATTCTGGAATCTGGCTCGACAGTTGTTCGCAGTCTTTTTCTAAAAGGATGAATACCGCGAATAACCTCCAAGGGTTAACCAATCTTTAAATCTTCGAAGTATTTAAGTCTCCTAACCGATGCTGTCGAACTCAAGCATGCGAACCATTAACATTAGGGAATACAAAGTAATTTCATCACTTGAGAGCTTTCCATATGTAATTATAAAATCATCTGAAACAATTTGCAGTACTTGTATGGATGGTGTTAGAGAGAATTTTCATGTTGATATCTAGAAAAGGCCAATCCGGTGTTATGTAAGAAGAAGAAGGTAAATAAGATTAGAAGAGGAAAGCTGTTAACATATTGGTGATGACAGATGTCTAGTATTCTCGCGTCAGGTTAAAGGGAGCTCTGGTTTCCTCGTATTAAATTTCTGACCTTTTAAAACATTAATTCACGTTCAGCAAGGAACTCTACATCTGTATAGTTCAACAGTCTCTACAAGTTAACTTCGGCGAAAAACAGCGACACTCTATTTCAAAAGATTGCTGGTATGCTCGCCAGCAGGAAGAGGGAATCTTTGGTTCACCTCATTAATTAGACAGTTTGACCCTGGATTTGCGTTTGAAACCTGTGTGACTTGACTTGAGTGGTTTTACACATCAAACGCCGTCAGCCTTATGATGAGATCTTTACCATTCTCAGACGATCAAAAATGACTTCGGAATCTCCTCGGAACAACGTAGGGCCGGAACAAAGGCACTGTGGTAGCTGCTACTCCTCGAAACTTTTAATATTGGTTCTCTTCGTGCTCTATGCAATGTGCCAAGTTCAGATTTTTGTAAACAGAGAGGGTTCCCAAAAGGTTTCGCATATTTTGCGCGAAATTCAACAGGCTGACGAGCGCATTACGGACGTGGAGTTGTCATTAATCGAAGTGGAGAGCAAATTGGATTTTGTTCTCGCTGATTGGAGTAAAAAATCTGTTGTCCATAGCAGAATGAAGAGACAGAGTCGTTCGGCGTTTCGTCTCGAAATTCAGCGGCTGAGACGACAATTGAGGCATTTAGAACGCAGGTAAGACAATCAAATGTTTGATGTTTATTATGCTTTGTTTGGAGTACCTGTAGTTTACTGTTTCCATTGAAGAGTAAGTCTATCATTTAGACAAATACTAGACCGGTGAGCTGTTGAAAGCTGACGCATTTCTTGTGTGAGAATAAAGTAAATTTAACCTGAGCTCCCGCTGACATGTAAAGTCGATTTTGATCATTGCAATGTTTCAAGCGTTGAAATTTCCTTTTGAGAACGTATTCGATTTGTCGATTTAGTCTCTGTGGTTTAGATGAGACGAGATTACCAAAGATTGCTGAAAATGATCTTGTTCGCTCTGGTGCTGGTTTACAATTGCCTTATCTTTGCATGAGGTCTGGCAATTTTAAGTCTTCCACTGCAAGCTTTCATATGCTCGAAACATGTTTTTGGGTACCACCACACTCCAGCACTCGTTAATTTAAGCATCTGTCTTCCATACGTTTGAGAACACTTCAAGAGTTTGGAATTTTTCAGTTTGATATTTCATTTAAATGCATTAGATTTTCTTTTTCTCGCGTGCTTAAAAAAAGTGGCTTGCGGACATATTATTGGGTTGTGATACAGATTAATTTTAACCCTGTTAAAAGGATGATTAGAAAAGCACACAAAATCAATTAATTTTAGTGGGAAGTGAAACGCCTCGACTGAAACAGATTATTAAACCTGTTATAAAATTTAGTCGGCGATCAAGTTTATTATTTTTCTATTAGAAAAAAAAAATGGTGACTGATTTGAATTTAAAGACAAATTTTCACAAAGATAGTAAAAAATGTTGATATATGTCATCATGTTACATTTTCCCCCCACCTTTTTGAGTTGCTTAAAGAAAGCTCTTACCTTCAAACTGGACTTAAGAAAAATTCATGAGCTAATGTTTATCAAATCAGATCCGCTTTTGTTCCTAGAAACTTAAAGCTTTTCAGATGAAAAATTGTGATAACTTCAGGTTGGCCATTTCCTTTCTGAAACATTTTTAAGACATAGGTTGTTTGTTCTTCGTTTTAGACAGTTTATTGATTTTCCTGTTATATTGTGACGAGAACCTTGCTCTAACCTGCATCATTTCACCATCGTTTTTTCGCTCTTCAGTCTGCTTGCCTCAAAGTGATTCTCGTAACTCATCAAGAATCCGTCTTTCCATTCTCCTTCTTCACTCTGAACATTCTTTTGAATTCTTAAACACTTCCAGTGATGTCACGCCAGATGCTTTCGCACTCAGATTGCACGTTGTGACAGAACAAGGAACTTTTCATAATTTGGAGCCGTTCAACTTAAAAAAAAATTCACCATGTCTTCTGACTAGAAAATCCTACTTTTAAATGAAAAAATGAAACATGATGGTAGGGGCAAACTGTCATTTGGAAAGAGTAAGATTGGCACCTGAATAGAAGCTGCATACAAGTTTGGATTAGTATGTATCATCGTTGATGTTGGCCATGGGTACCGAAATTCTTGCCCTGTCTGTTTTGGCCGTTGGCTGTACTTAAATCTTGAGCCTGGAACTATTTCGGCTCCTTTCAGCGGTAAGATCGTCGGCCTACCGGTGGGATCGCCGGACCGCTAACACGGAGCCAAAAAGATTTTGGGCTCGAGATCGATCGGTTGTAACCCTCAAACGTCTTAGATTTTTTTATTACATGTCGAATGTCAAGCGTTTGGCTTAAGAAGATATATATATATATATATATATATTCGTTGGAAAGACAAACAGTTCATCACAGAAACCGGCCATAAGATAAAAAGAAAATTACCATAAAAAAAATAAAAAAAAAAAACCTCTCTGATTATATCATCTGTCGTGTCCTTATGAAGGTACTCGAGCGAAACGCAACAATCTCCAACGTTCAATCAGGGAAGCACATTTTGTTTCTTTTCCCTTCAAGAATTTGAAATGGCTGTTTATTTTTCTGTCAGCTGATGTGTGTGTTCTCTACCCCGGTCTGAATTTGTTGAGGTATTTAATAATGAAAAGCTTTCGGCCAAGGGAGTTCATCAACTCTTCGTCGACATCGTTTTCTTCTAAAAATTGTTCAGTATTTTATGACACAGATCTGTATTTAAAAAAAATCAGTGAAGGAACAGGTATAGGTTACTTTAGCATACTCTTGATTGAAAACACTTTTTAGGATGATTCTTACGATAAGTTTGGTCGATAAGGGTTTAATAATTAGAAGAGGCACTCCATTGTGTTAAATAAACTTTGGGTATTTGTTAAATTTCTGGTGTTTCAAACTAAATCAATGTCATTCGACAACACAAAGTGAAGCAAAAAGGAAAAAAAAACCTCCAACATGCAAATGTAAAGTTTCAAGTCGAAAAATAATACCTTGTTTGAAAGGAAAGGTTTTTGGTTAATGCTTTTTTGCACCCAAGAAGTAGGTAGCTTTTTTGGGTACGTGCGTGATAATACTAACAAACACGGTCAGGAACTCAAAATTAGAATTCCGTAACTAACGTTTTTTTTCCATATTAACAAAAGAGATTGACCTTTTTCTTTAGAGAAAATGTAGAATTGTGTCGCCTCGAAACAATGTCTGCTCCATTACAAGTCTATAATTTGTCTGCGCAAGCATTACTTACGAGATGTGGTTAACCTCTTTTTTTTTTTTCAAGATACTGCAGACTCGATGAATGTCTCTATCAGATCAAAATAATAGTGGATATATCTTTAAGTGGTATTGAAATATTGCAGGTACAGATAAAGATGTTCGCAAACAAGTGCCCTCTTCAATGAACGGATGAATAATAGAGGGGAAGTATTTTTAAATCATGCAATTGTCTCACCATGTTTTCCTTAATGGGGTAAAAGAACGAGGCGGATACCAATTAAAATCTTCTCTTCATGTCGCCAGCTCAATCTTTTGAAACAATTAGCGGCACGTTTTTTGAAAGTCCGCTCCTTGGAAAAAACAATAATTTCTAATTACTCCAGTTTCCGCACTTTACAAGTATTAAAAGCTCTGTAATTACTGTGTTTACCCCAACAGCGACTTATCATCTTCGCATACACCGAATGTTAATCCATTTCAATCAGCACCTCTTCTCCATACCGAGGCAAATGTCCAGTTTTCGATGACGTGCTACATACAAACTACTAATAGCGTGTTTTTGAAATACCACCCGCTAGAGATAAGATAAATGAGAAACCGCATCTTTAGATTACAACCTGGAGTTATTGCATTTAGATGGCACTGAAAACCGCAAACATGCAGAACTTTTCCGCCGAGCCGGCGTCTTCATTCGGGTAGGAGTGGTTTACCGTATTGACAAATTTTCTCTGTATTATAAATATATCAAAGGCGGAATTGAGGAAATGTTTCTGTGCGTTGATAGATAACTTTTCAGATAAAATATAAAATGTCTTTGTTGAATGTTATCTGAAATAACTTTCCTCGTGCATTTTCTTTAATTTAATTTCATCCCTGAGATCAACTTTTTTCCATTTTTTTTCTAGATATATGTTTATTTAAATTTGTGATATGTCTATAAAGTGCGATAGAAAGTGAAAAGTCTTCTTTCGTCGGATGGCCTCTCTGTAGTAAGACGAAAGTAAAATCTTTGATTGCGCAGTTGGTAATTTATTCCTTAAACGTTTAGTATTTTGGTAATTTTGATGAATATATCTCGTGGTTCTTCTGTCAACTTCAAACTATCCATGACAGCTTTAATCGTCCCTTAATTTTGTAGGACTTCCTGTTGATCTTTTAAAACTTCCCGTGCTTCGATGTCCAGAAATACTGTAACTACATAAATACTACATACGTGCGTCGAGTTGGCATGAACTACATAAACATTAATGACTTCGTATCATCTGTTTACCGATTCTATCGATGGTTGAGACGTCCTTACACAAACAGGCACCACAAGCAACGTTTCAAATGAGTGCAGAGGCATAAAATGCGCTCTGTTAAAAGGCCGACTCCGCGCCGCGGGCTCTAATTTTAACACTGCTATGTGTGGGCAGTGTCTCGAAACATTACTTGATTCGCCAGGCAAGTTATTAGAAGCAGGTGCATTTGACATCTTAAGCGTGACTGCAACTTGATTTGCTTAAAATGGAGATAATGTAGTACACAATTGGACGTTTTTATCACCGGTATTGATCTTTCTCAGACATTTTTAAGCCCACTCTCGCTCAATGCACGAGAGCAGGCCCAAGTTGTTTGTCGTCAAACACAGATGTGCACGAGATAAACAACTGAAGGCTTTCAGAAACTCTTCGCGATATGATTGAGTGAGTGAAGAGGTTTACCATGAAGACTGAAGAGTTGAAGTTAAAAGCATCCTTTACCAAAGATATTTCTGCTAATTCAGGGACACCATCGTCTAATTGCACTGTAAAAAAAGTGCCTTTACTTGTGCACAGTAGCGGTCCAAATGCGTCGAACAGATCCTACGTTTATCAGCCTAAGGTTCCCAAACCAAAGGCTGAACAATCCAGTTGTACAAGCATGAAAAATCCATGGATTGTCAGGAGTGCTGTAGCATTTGTTATGGTCATTGTCATCGTAATATTCGCATCTCTGCAAGGAAAAACTAGCACTGATTTGGAAAACACAAAGGCCAGAGTCAAAGAGCTTGAATCTGTGGTCGAGTCTCTAAGTGAAAATATTCTAATTCTGGAAATGAGGTAAGAACTATCTTAAGTTGTTTAGAGGTGAGAGGCGTTTGTGAACTCGAAAACAGTGAGAACTTTTGAAATTATGTCTGAGCCTGTGAAAATTTCTCTTTCAAGACTTTGTGGCAGATGATAGCTCAATATTTAACTTCCGTGTATGGATGCGTTCGAATCACTTTAGCTGCATGTTTTTAATAGGCAGAAATGGAATTTCTTGTGCTCAGTTTACTGCAATAAAAAGCGTTTATCGAAGAATGTTCTTCCTCGCCGTGGGTGTTCTAGACATTAACATAGCACTGCGGTCAAACTTTTCCACTAAAATTTTATTTCTGAGTTGCAGATAACGCATTGGTTTGACTTGAGCAGTAATGCAGCGTTTTTCGCACATTTGAAACCTACCGGAGTAATCTTTTCCTGAACAAATAGTGTGAAATGAGCTAACAGAAGATTAATTCGCTGGGCGAAATTGTGTGGTTGTTTTAAAACTATATGATCTTCACATACACACAGCAATTATTTCATTCAACAGCCGTTTAGATTGATTCTCAGCAGGAATTGGAGCAATTTTCTGAGTTAACAGGGTTCCCCTGACACACAGCGAAAGGTTACGTTCATTAACCACCATGTTTTAGATTCGAAGCGCTGAGTCACGTTTTTGTAAGGCGCGCTAGCGGAGTACCATGTGGTTGTCATTTCGCCTCGCTACCTGTTCATTAATGAAATTTTTATGACTTCATCAGTGGTTTTGTGTGATTCTCTTTACAAGTCTGGTTGGAGAGTGACAGCTTTTAAGAAACGCGAAGTTGGCGGTATTTCAGCTCACAAGACGCCATAATGATTTCGTAAATTTTTGCTAAATTCTCTTCCGAAGAAAGAACTAAAACGGACTATTTTTCCTGAAAATAAAGGGAAAACAACACCAGAAATCTTTCAGGTTCTTAATGAGTTTTTCCATTATTCTAAAACCTATTATTTTCAATTAAACCTTTTAGCTGGTCGTAAAACGACCGACATTTTTTATTCAGGTCAGATTAGAAATGGAAATCACAGTGGAAATGTGCAGCAATTAATCACCACGTCCCATTGTGTTAGGACATTATTTGTAACACTTAGCCCATTGAGCAAACAGAATGCTCTAGAGCAGGTGTTTTGCAATCCATAACTTTCAAATCACTTTAAGATTTATGAATAACGAAAATATCGAGAGAGCAGAAATGGTTGTGTCTCAGAGTGAGTGGGCAGAATTACTTATCCTTTAAGATGCTACCAAAGGTCTTCGGTGTGAAATTAATAATCTGTAACTATCTTAATGCCACCATAGCTTAAATACAGATGAATTTGTATTTTTTTTCTATTTAAGTGGAATTTTAACGTCTGTAGAAGCAGTGATTCACCGTCTTATACACTCCTAGTTTAAGAATAGTGTAATTCGTGTATAGGACTTTTTCGTTTATCGTATCGTTTTAGATTTTAGGATTACATCCCCCCAAAGGAAAGGGGTCAGTAATTTATAAGACAACGTTTTTATTATTATTTCAAGGGAAATCAAGTTTTAGCCAACGTGTTTCATAGACTGAAAAATCACCTTTTAGTTAAGAGATACCCAGTGTTCATTGCTTGCTCGTACATGTCGTGTATTTTCTTCTCATTTGGCTGCCGTTTTGTCAATTTGGTTTTGAAAATAGCCTTTACATTAATTTTTTTCCTTTTTTTTTCTACGACACTGTTAGTTTTTTGCGGATATCAGAATCTCATTAGATGAAGTTTTCTTTCTGGACAAAAATTAAATGGATTGTCGCCCTTCAATTAAACGTTCTAGTCAAATCCTTCGCAGAGTTTCACAAGATCATTAATATTATGAACCAGTTTAGCAAACAAACAAAAAAATTAGTATGAGGAAAACATTTTCATTGAAGTTGAACCTATTTGTAAAGTAAGACTCCCTTTATGATCCCGTAAAATTTCAATAATGTTTGCCTTTCCTTCCCAAATTTGTTTTGTTGAGAGACTTAAAGTGCGCTTGGATTCTCTATATCACACTATTTTGAGATCTTAACAGTAATACAAGAAGGAAAATATTTTAATGGATTGTAAATACACTCCACTCACTTCACCTCCACACACGTTTATGAAAGTTAACGAAATTAGCTAAAAAATATTCCAAATTTCAAAATATTTCAAAACTGTCGGCTTTGTGCAGAATAGGGCCACAAAGAAAAATATATTCACATGAAATACCTGTGAATGTGTGCAGGGAGTGTGTATATTTTGATTTATCCTTCTCAAATTTCCGTGCCGTGAATGCACAATCGTAGTTTCATTGGAGCACTTTGCAAACCTAAAAGATAATTTTTTGCCTTTTCATGAAGCCTCTGGCTGGATATTTGATGGATTGTTGAACCAGCTATTGACCGAGATTACACGGTTCATAAAATATCTAACATCCAGTGCAGTCATATCCACCTCACGCCTTGTCGACACCAACTCTCACAATTAAATGAAATGCATAATATTTGATTAAAATTTCAGCCTACCGGCGGGGATCATTTCTTTACGTAAATGTTGCTTGTAGGAGCTTATAGTTCAAGAATTAGCTAACTTTCACTACCAACCACTTTGATGCCTAACTTGTCAGACTTTTTGAGGGTAGAGATATGGAGTCATTAACCACTCATACCCTAACATCAGTATGTAATTCTGCATACTTTTCTCTTTACATTTCCTATGGTAGTGACCAGAAGAATTTGTTTCAACTCCAATAGTTAGCGATCATTTTTCTTATTCTCGTGACCTTAATGTTTGATTGGAGGGTGATAATTTAAGGAGAAATTAGATGCTAGTCACTCTTATAGGGTTCAGGGATATCAGTTGAACTCCAGTCATTGCCCAACAATTGAAACCCAAATTTTAAAAGAAGTATTTTTTCNCTCCCACACAACAGTCCAGCGCTCTCCCACACAACAGTCTAGCGCTCTCCCACACAACAGTCCAGCGCTCTCCCACACAACAGTCTAGCGCTCTCCCACACAACAGTCCAGCGCTCTCCCACACAACAGTCTAGCGCTCTCCTGCACAACAGTCTAGCGCTCTCCCGCACAACAGTCCAGTGCTCTTCCGCACAACAGTCTAGCGCTCTCCCACACAACAGTCTAGCGCTCTCCCGCACAACAGTCTAGCGCTCTCCCGCACAACAGTCCAGCGCTCTCCCACACAACAGTCCAGCGCTCTCCCGCACAACAGTCTAGCGCTCTCCCGCACAACAGTCCAGCGCTCTCCCACACAACAGTCCAGCGCTCTCCCGCACAACAGTTCAGTGCTCTTCCGCACAACAGTCCATTGCTCTATTTATTGAGCTAACCGGGAGGCTCAAGAGAATACACACCTTTTCGTGGCGCTTCATAACTTTTTTTTCTTAATCCTTTTCAGACTACAATGCGCTACGTCAGATAACAATACTGACGAGAGAGGGAGACCATGTCCCTCTAAGACAGGAGGTAAGACAAGTCTTGGATGATAGTTCATGAACTCATTACAATAATTTAATTCAGAACATTTCACTCAACATCCATCAAATAGTTTCGTCAAGCCCGCGATTGGTCTAAGCGCGTCATGTGACTAAGTATGTTCCTGCTAACACTGGGCAACATCCAATGACATTCTCCCACCAATATACCTCACTTTCATATGCTTATGTTTATCACGTAAAATTGATTTCGAGAGAGGAGTTTGTTGTTACTGCGAAGGAAAACACAAATATATTTCTCCATACTATAATTTGTTTTTTCTTGTTTTTTTTTTTCTCTTGGTCGCAAAAGAGAAAAAATGATTTGTCAGGCGCTGGACAAATCATTTGAAAGATAACAATCACAAAACTGTCCTTAAGATGCGAAAATATACCCGGATATGCATTATTCCTTGGACATCATACTCACACCTCTCTGCAAACGTCGCTCTAAGAAAGCTGTTCGCTGTTCTGAATTTTACAAGGGCAGATTGCCAAGCATAAATTGCTCCGAACTGAAGACATTGTTCATGAACAATGAGCATGGTCTCCCAGTTCGGGTTGTACCGTTGAGTTTTTGGACAAGACACGTAAGAAGCCTACTGCCCCTCCCCCCCTTTCACCTTATCCCGCCCCCAAATTCGGACTATAAATAAAAGGTGCATGAACTTGGTTGGAAAACACGCCAAAATGCTCAGGGAAAGTTTGCGAGGGACAAGCATTCCACCCACGATTTGGGGCCATTTAACATTGCTCTCGTCGCTTTATGGCAGCTATAGACCATGTAGCCTCTAAAAAATTGACCCTAATATTTTGCAAACTAAGTGACTGACAGTTGATGCACATTGCTCCGCGTATTTTGTTTTCAAACAGCCAGAACAGGTTTTCTAAAGAACAAGCGTAAAGGAGATAAAACAACTTCAACAAGTAGGCCCACCGCCAAACCGACAACACTCGGGAGAAAATCTAACCAAGGTGGGGAAAACCTCATGGCATTGAGTCAAACAGGACTAAAGCAAAAGCGGACCACCATTTATACTCGCTGGGGAAAGTCAAGATGCGAAGATGTCAGATCATCAGATATATACACTGTGTATTCAGGTCAGTCTATGGTTCTTCTGGTTATTCTGTTTAACAAACTCAAGTGTAAAATGACTAGTGATCCCCATTCTCCATAATTCCAACCCTATAACTTCCAGAAATAATCGAATTTCAAATTCCCTTTAACGCATCGTTTTATCTAAGCCCATAATTTTTCATCTGGAATGAGTCAGTGTAAAAGCTAAAAAGTGATGATAATGTGAGATGTTATCATTTCTTCTGGCGGGATTTAGTATGCAGATGCCTTTGTTTCCTCCATTGATTTCATGTTAAAAAAAAACAAAAGTGATACTCTTATTTCTTAGTTTTGTTACTCTTTCTCTTTCCCCCTTTTTTCTACTTTTGCTTACTAGATAGTACCTTGCACACATCCGGCTTCGGTTGGTCTACCATGGAAAAAAAACCTTTTGCTTTGTTTTTTACTTAAGTATGGTTTATTCCCGCACCCCTAGGCCAGCTTCAGGACCAGGTAAACCCATTACCACTTAATGAAATGTGTTTTATCACTTAGGAAGAGTGGCTACCTTGCACTCAGAAACCAATTCTGCGGTTGGCTCGGAATATCTGTGTGTTCCGGACAGCTTTGAATACACTGATCGAAGACACATGACAAGTGGACTTTACCTATCACCGGTTCGTTTCGGCATGAATATGAGCGTTTTCAGACCGTTTAGTGAGGAAAATTGCAGAAAATTTCCAAGTAAATGCAAGTTGTTCAGGGAACTCGATCCAAGTTATTTCAGAGAACTCGAAATGTTCCAAGTCCCTTGTGCGGTGTGCAGGCACGAAAAACGCTCAGCCACGCTCGTCACCCCGGGACGAAATTCGTGTTATCCATACTGGTTTAAAATATATCACGGAGTTTTAATGACGCGGCAGAGTGGAACTGCAAGATCGGAGCACATCTGTGTTGATTACGACGCGGATGGTATCCCTGGTACCAATACCACTGACACAAAGGGCCCCTTTTTACAGTTTGTCGCGTACAAGTGTAATAAAGCTTACTGTCCTCAGGACACGGAAATTCCACGGGCGTTGACATGCGTTGTGTGCACACTCTAAAAATGACATACGTAGTGGTTCAGATATATAACATTTTGAGTCTTGGCTTCGTTTGGAAATTCCCAACGCCATAGCCCTCAAGTACAGCGACAACAAAGGACAAATCGTGAAGAGGTCATTGGCGAAAGAAGCTACCTACTTTACACACCTCACATATACTCGGCTTCAAGACATGGTATGAAGGAGATTACATGGACAGATGGTATCTTGGCATCACGACACAAAATGCAATTTTCGGCCCGAAAAAAAGCGCTGCTGTATTTGAAAGACATAGTTCAAGAAGGGCAAAGAAGTATATACTCATTTAGACACAGCTGTGAACGTATAGTTTATAACTTCGTAATTATTCTGAGCAATGCCTATAGTTAACAATTAGATTACGGGCTCGAGATTTCTATTGCGTGATTTTTGAAATAAAGAAATCAAGATCAAATAATCTAATTGTTTCAGTAGAAATCTACCAGTTATTGAAAACATGTGAAGACATGTTTCATGTTTTAATTTTGTTTACAATCGCAGGCAGTCATGCCACTCCCTATCTATTGCGCAATAGGTAGAGAGCAGCATAGCGAATGAAATTGCAGCATTGTAATAGAACGCTGGTGAATTTGTACTACTGTTGATTAGAAATGGAACGAAAGGCTAGCGCAAAGAGAAATAGAGTATATAATTTTAAGTATTTAAACGACTGCATCACGTTAAGAAATCCATATCCAGCTTTGACATGGCCAGCCAGTAAGGGAGCAGTAACACAAGAGAGCTTTCTTTGACTCGCTATTGAGCACTGGTGCAACTCAGATGTTTCACGAAGTAAAGAGACACTCCGGTATAGAAAACGGTTTTAGTGAATATAAAAAAAAAGAATCTATCATCTATGTACCTACCGCCTCCCATCGAACATACTGGAAGGGGAAATCTAGATTCTGTGTTCCTGATCAGCTAGGAATGGAAGACGATGATACACGTTGCAAGAGACCATAAGAACTGCAACAACCTCCTTGCAGACTATACAAAAAAATACAGAGAGCCACGAAATGAAAATAAGATATTCACGCTGGTTGTAAGAGCATCATTTTTAGTCGCGGGTCGTACAGGATGCATCTCTGAAATTGGCTTGTGAATACAAGACAAGTATCACAAGGTCTCACTGAATTATTTTGCTTAGTTTATGTAATAACATATCATATTCGAAGTTATTTGTGCGGCGCGGTGCCTTAAGACACTGAGTATCGCTTGGTTAGAAAGTAAATAACTTCTTAAGCAAAGTTAAACGACTTACTATTTCCCTCTGACGGTAGATTCAAATACTGTAGTACAGTTTTATCATGAGTAATAGTTTTACTTTAAAAGCGCTCTTCGAGAGATATATGAATTTATTCGATTACAGCTTATTCTTTTTTTGGGGCGCCCATTCACTACTTCTACAATTCCCAAGCCACTTTTTTAGATCGTTCAAAATCCTCCTAGACCTCTTGGCATCACGTGTATCATGGGTGCCAGCAAATATCAAGACTGGGTCCTGTAACCTGAAAATTTTGGGGCTCAAAGTGAATTATGGGCAATCTGTAGGAAGCTAACTGCCTCAGTTGATAAAGGATTGCATTGACTTTCACCGGTCTTACTCAGTGTAACGAGTAACTTCAATTTGGAGGATGTAGTTTTTGGCCATGATACTGGCCAAAATTAAATATATCAAGCACTGAACATTTCAGATGGGAAAAGTAATGAATTAAAATAAAACTTCTACAATGATCCTTCAGATAAGATTTGTCTTTTATTAGTGACGCAAATGTGTTCCTTTTCGGTTTATAACACCTAGGTCACGTTTCTTTTCATCTTTCGCGGTTAACGATCCTAAAATGGAACAGCTCGAGGTGGCGAATTGCTGAATAGTACAGTAGACAAGTTTCACAAGGCAGTGGTAACGACAAATTTTTTTGAATGGAATAATTACATAATCCAACCTGTTTTAAACGGCACCGTATTGAAAGGTCCCCCTGTATCTAGCGTTCGCAAGTTCAAAGTCCCAAAATTTTTAACACTTAAAATGAAACGCATGGTGTTGGAAATTGATGGGTAGAAATCGAATTCTTACAAAATCTTGTGGCAGTGCAAACAACATGAGCAAATGAATGACTTATTTTTAGGCGTGCAACTACTGACAACCATCCATTTACTCAAACTTCTAGTGTTTATGTACCGCGTGTTTGACACCCTTAACAACCGTTACTCTCAAGTGAGACCTTCCCCGCAATACTTACTTCCGCAAACGATTATTCTTTGACTGATATGTCCTATATTCGAAGCCGTATCTGTTTAAGACAATGTAGATTGTTGTACCTGCCGCAGACGGTGAGGGTTGTGGTACTACCGGAGCCGGTCTAAGGAGAGTAGTCATATATGAGTATAAGATACATGACATGTATAACGGAGTGGATGCTGGTCAACCATACAGTATTATCCATCTTTCGAAACTCTCAAGCCCGCCTTCACTGCTATAAATTAGAACGAAGTGACTGATTCACATTTGAGTCCGTTTGAATTCTTTCAGGAAGTATGTCTTTTACTGCAGTCAGCCAAGATTATTGGAGTAAGATGGAAAGGTTTACAATCAGAGAAAGATGTAAGTTAATGTTCAACAACGAGCTCTTGAGCGATGTGAAGTTTGTTGTGCGAGACACTGAGGCCGGAAGTGAAAGTATGAAGACGATTCCAGCTCACAAGTTCGTGTTGGCGATCAGCAGCCCAGTATTTTACGCCATGTTCTACGGTGAACTAGCAGAGACGAAAGACTCCATCAAAATCTCTGACTGCGAATATCAAAGCTTGTTGGAGTTGTTCCGTTTCATTTACAGCGATGAAGTGATTTTGAACGCCGACAATGTTATGCAAGTGTTGTATTTGGCGAAGAAATACATACTCTCTTCTCTTGTTGACAAGTGCACAAAATACCTGGGAGAGAACGTGGATGCTTCAAACGTGTTTCATGTCCTGCCAGGGGCACAGAAATATGAAGAGAAAGATCTGGTGGATAAATGCTGGAAAGTGATCGATGAGCATGGAGATGAAGCAATAAAATCGGATGTTTTCGTCGCAATCGAGAAATCTTTGCTGGAAGAATTAGTGGAGAGAGACTCTTTAAATGTTACAGAGGTGGAGTTATTTAAAGCTGTGGACTATTGGGCTGGACATGAATGTGAAAAGAAAAACCTGGCACTAGAAGGATCCGTGAAGAGAAGAATTCTTGGAGAAAGGATAGTCAAGGCGATTCGCTTCCCGGTTATGGAGCTGAAGGAATTCGCCAAATATGTACTTGATTGCGACATATTGACACGAGAAGAGACCTACAACCTGATGAAGTATCTTAGTGGTGTGCCTCATAAACCAGTAGAATTTCTGGAAACGAAAAGAGGTGGGTCACCACAAAGTCTAAGAAGATTCGCTGCATTAGGAAGCGCGATGGAGTATCCTTTCGACTCCATGAGTCATTCAATTACTCTTTCGGTTAACAAGATAATTGAACTTCAAGCTGTTCGTTTATTTGGTAGTGAGAACAATATGTATGATGTGGCACTAGTTATCATTGATAATGATGGTTTTGTTTTGGCTGATGTGATTGGCACTTTTTCATCTATACCTATGCAAAGTGACATAGGAGACTATCACGGCTTTGACTTAACATTTGAGCCTGCACCTGTTTTGCAAGCAAACACAGATTACATTTTCACGGCCGAGATTGAAGGTCCGCTATCCTGGTATGGAAAAGGTGGAGTGTCCTGCAAAGAACAGGCTGGCCTTACTTTCTCCTTTAAACATTCTTCTCACTTTTCCGCATGCTATAGTGATGTTGCTGAAGGACAATTTGCTGAGTTAAAATATAAATCAATGTAATCATAAATTACCAAGTTTGAAGTTGCGTCATCTGCAAACTTGTATTTTCATGGATGCCTATTATCATTTGTATCATAGTAAACATTGTACACATCGTCTGATAGGTCAATGTGGTACTGGCCATGGTAACTAGATCCGGGACCTTCGTAGTATATGTTGACGAGAGGAGAATACAACAGAGCGGTTTCATATTGACTTTGTGTCCTTTACTTTGTTACAAATACTACAGCCAATTCAGTCTAAAGTAGATACTTAATCAGGTTATAAAGCATGCATGTAGCTGGCTATGTCATAAAAGCAATAGAGCGCAATTTTCCCGGGCTCTAGAACGTGATAAAGCCACTTGCGAGGTTGAGAGAACACTCGGAAAGATTATAAATTACTCGCCTTCGGCACGTGATTTATAGGTTTTCCTTTTTTGCACTGCTGGTACTCTCATTCAAGACCATTCCCTATCACTCAGTCCTGGAAACGACTATCATTCTTGAAAGAGCTGGAGTTGTGATGTTGACTTAGGTTCTTATATGTGACAAAAATTGCATGAATAAAGACACGAATTCATATATTCATTGTGAAAATTGCGGGTTCGTTTGATGCTTTTAACGCCATTTTGCATGGCACATACACGACAATCGTAGAATACAAAGCCTATGATGTAGACTGAACCAGAGGCATTGTTGGCCTAAAAGAGGTTTAGAGAAGAAATGGTTTCAAATTTTGATTTTGACTCCTGTTGCAGGACTCACAAAACAATTGTCCAAGGTTCAAATTGGAATTGTGGTCGTTCGCCTGAAAAAAATACCACTTTCTTCTTATTGCATCTCACCACTCAAAGACCCCACTTACACAATCTAAATGGCTAACACCCACCTAATCTAAATTTAGATCAGTGGGTTCAAGCCGTGTCAAATGATCATCTAATACCCCATTCACACCAAAGCCTAAACATGCTTTAAAGCTGTTTTGTTAAACATGGTTTAACACAACAGCTCCATAGAAGCTGCTCAAATCAATATTTGGTTGACTTCAAATGTGGCACTTTGAAAATACAATTTAGCAATTGCTTGAATCTTGTGGAAAATTTAGTTTTTCAGTTCTCTGCTTCTGATTTTTATTCAGTTAAACCTGGTTTAACTAAACAAGTTTTCTGGTGTGAATGGGGTATTATATTTGCCCTTGAAGCTTCACTTCTCGGGCAAATATTTGTTTTAAGAACATCACATTTCCGCGGGGCAACTATCAGCCGATAGTTCCTCGACAGAAACACTCTATTGTTTTAATAGATAGAAAGCGGCGTAGCCAGTTAAATTGCAGCATTGTAATAGAACACTAGTACATTTGTGTTACTAGTACTGTTGATTAGAAATGGAACGAAAGGCCGGCGCAAAGAGAAATACATTATATAATTTTACTAAGTATTTAAACGACTGCATCGTGTTAAGAACTCCATATCCAGCCTTGACATGGCCAGTTATTAGGGAGCAGTTGCACATGAGAGCTTCCTTTGACTCGTTATTGAGCACTGGTGCAACTCAGATATTTCATGAAGTCAAGAGACACGCCGGTATAAAAAACGGTGTTAGTGAATATAGAGAAAAGAATCTAGCTTCTGTGTACCCACCGCCTTCCATTGAACGTACTGGATTCTACATTCTGTGTTCCTGATCAGCTAGGAATGAAAGACGATGATACACGTTGTAAGAGACCATGAGAACTGCAAGAAACTCTTTGCAGTCGGTACAAAAAATTACAGAAAGCCACGAAATGAAAATAACATGTTCACGCTGGTTGTAAGAGCATCATTTTCAGTCGCGGGTCGCAAAGGCTCCATCTCTGAAATTGGCTTATGAATACAACACAAGTATCACAAGGTCTCACTGAATGTTTAGTTTATGTAATAACATATCATATTCGAAATTATTTGTGCGGCACGGAGCCGGAAGGCACTGAATATCGCTTGGTCAATAAGTAAATAACTTCTTAATCAAAGTTAAACGACTTTCTATTTCCCTCTGACGGTAGATTCAATTACCGTAGTACAGTTTTACTAAAGATTCAAATACTGTAACAGTTTAACTATAAAAGCGCTCTTCGAGAGAGATGTGAATTTATTCAATTACAGCTTATTCTTTTTTGGGGCGCCCATTCACTACCTCTTCAATTCCCAAGCCACTCTTTTAGATCGTTCAAAATCCTCTTAGACCTCTTAGCATCACGTGTATGTGCCAGAAAATATCAAGACTGAGGCTTGTAACCGAAAACTTTGGGGCTCATAGTGTATTATGAACAATCTGAAGGACGCTAACTGCCTCACTTGATAAAGGATTGCATTAAATTGAACTGGTCTTACTCAGTGTAACGAGTAACTTCAATTTGGAAGATGTGGTTTTTGGCCATGATAATGGGCAAAATCAAATATATCACGTATTGAACATTTCAGATGGGAAAAAAAACTAATTAGAATGAAAAATTCTACAATGATCCTTCTGATATGATTTATCTCTGATTAGTGACGCAAACGTTTTCCTTTCCGGTTTATAACACCTAGATCACGTTTCTTTTCATCTTTCGTGGTTAACAATCCTAAGGATGGAACAGCTCGTGGCGGCAAATTGCTGAATAGAGCAATAGACAAGTTTCACAAGGCAGAGGTAAAGACAAATTTTTATGAATGGAGTAAATTCATAGTCCAACGTCGGTTTTCGAAGTCCCGAAATTTTTACCACTTAAAATAAAACGCATGGTGTTGGAAATTGATGGGTAGAAATCGAAATCTAAGAAAATCCTGTGGTAGTCCAAACAACATGAGCAAATAAATGACTCATTGTTAGGCATGCAACTAGTGAAATATATTCGAAACCGTATCTCTTGAAGATAATATTAGGGCGAGGCTCTGGTACGGCTGATGCAACCGAAAGAGACTGGGCCGACTACGCCGTCTCCCGCCAAACTCAAATTGATTAAGTTTTGTGCATTACGGCGAGGTCGAACTCGATGTAAACAAATAAAAATCTGCCCCAAGTTTTTTGTTGTAGGTATGTTTGTTTAGAAAAAATGGTCTCTTGGAAAGAATTGAGAGAGCTTATAATGCTCTATTATGACATGAATGTCCTCGATGACGCGGAATTTCTCTTACTAGACGACCTTTACAACCCAAAAATCCTGGACTTGCCGTGTGAGTTGTATCCATATTTTGACCTCGAAAACCTGACCGAAGATGAATGCTTGTCCTAATTTTGGTTCAAGAAAGCTGACATCCCAAGACTTTCTCGGGCTTTACGGATTCCTGCTGTTATAAGTTGTCACCAAGGGACAACTTGTGACGGAACCAAAGGATTGTGTATGCTTTTGAAGCGGTTGTGTTACCCTTGCCGATACAGTGACATGGTCCACTTGTTCGCTAAGCCCGTTCCTGTATTGTGCATGATAACTAATCAAGTTTTAGATTATATTTATCAAGTTCACAGTCATCGCATTCTGCAGTGGAATCATCAGCTGCTAAGCCAAGCCAATCTTGAAAGATTTGCTGAAGTTGTTCACCGAAAAGGAAGCCCACTTGATAACTGTTTTGGTTTTGTTGATGGGACAGTTCGCCCTGTTTGTAGGCCCGGCACTCTTAACCAGAGGTTGCTTTACAATGGACACAAACGTGTCCATGGAATCAAGTTTCAATCTGTCGTTACCCCGAATGGAATGATTGCAAATATGTATGGTCCTGTTGGTAAGTTGCCTTTTCTTTAGAAAATTGAATCTGGGGTCAGGGTGAGGAGGCAACTGCCAAAGTGGTTTGTTTTTTCCTTTCATCGTAGGAAACTCCATGGAATAAGACTTCCTGGAAACATACAACTGCTTTTTCATGAGAAATTAAAACACCCTCTCATAAAAACACTTCATTCTCATAGGCAAGCTGACTATTTCCAGAGAAAAGCATGTTTCGTTTAATATTTAATATGGTTGTACCTGTTGCAGATAGTGAGGGTTGTAGTACTTCTGGAGACAGTCCGCTGAGGGAGAGTACATGGATTATTTGACAGTGGTCATATATGAGTATAGTCTACATGACATTTCTAACTAAGTGAGTGGATGCTGGTCAAGCATACAGTTTTAACCATCGTTCGTAACTCTCACAGCTTTCGCTACTCTACAAATTAGAACGAAGCGACTGAATTACATTTTACTCCGTTGGAATACTTTTAGAAAGTATGTCTCTTTCTGCAGTCAGCCAAGATTATTGGAGCGAGGTGGAACGGTATACGATCAGGGAAAGGTGTAAGTTTATGTTCAACAACGAGCTCTTGAGCGATGTGAAGTTTGTTGTGCGAGACACTGAGGGCGGAAGTGAAAGTATGAAGACGATTCCAGCTCACAAGTTCGTGTTGGCGATCAGCAGTCCAGTATTTTACGCCATGTTCTACGGTGAACTAGCAGAGACAAAAGACTTCATAAACATCTCTGACTGCGAGTATCAAGGCATGATGGAGCTGTTTCGCTTTATTTACAGCGATGAAGTGACTTTGAACGCGGACATTGTTATGCAAGTGTTGTATTTGGCGAAGAAATACATGCTTCCTTCTCTTGTTGACAAGTGCACGGAATACCTGGGAGAGAATCTGGATGCATCGAACGTGTTTCATGTCCTGCCAGAGGCACAGAAATATGAAGAGAAAGATCTGGTGGATAAGTGCTGGACAGTGATCGATAAACATGGAAACGAAGCTGTGAAATCGGATGCTTTCGTAACTATTGAGATATCTCTGCTAGAGAAATTAATAGAGAGGGATTCTTTGAATGTTGCAGAATTGGAGTTATTTAAAGCTGTGGACTGCTGGGCGAGATATGAATGTGAAAAGAAAAACCTTGCAGCTGAGGGTTCTGTGAAAAGGAGAATCCTAGGAGAAAAGATTATCAGAAGCATTCGCTTCCCGGTAATGGAAGAAAGAGAATTCGTCAAATTTGTTCTTGACCGTGAGATATTGACACCGAAAGAAGCTTACAACATGATGAAGTACTTCAATGGCGTTCTTAGTCATCCAATTGAATTTGTCGAAAAGAAAAGAACTGGGCTTTTGCGACGATTGTGCAGGTTTGCATCAATAGCAAATGGGTTGCATTATTCCACTACCTATTTCAGGCCGCGTAGGACTATTTCCTTCGTTGATTCAATCGTCCTTTCGGTTGATAAAGAGATAGAACTGAAGTCTGTTCGATTATTTGGTAGCGAGAACAACGAATACTCTGTGACTCTAAACGTCACTGATATTGCTGCTGATCTTGTTTTGGTTACTGAAAGTGGCAATTTTACATCAATTCCTGTTCAGAGTGCCATTGGCAATTATCATGGCTTCGATGTAGTTTTGAAGCGTGCGGTTACCTTGCTGGCAAATGAAAATTATTGTTTTGAAGTTCGTATTGACGGCCCTCAGTCTTGGTATGGTATAGGTGGGGTGTCCGTTAGTGAACACTCTGGAGTCGTGTTCTCTTTCAAAGAAAGACACCGGACACAAACAGGGGAACGTAGCAATGTTGCAGATGGACAATTTGCCGAGTTTGAATATAGCTTAAAATGAATTCCGCAATTGCAACTTGCCTTATCATCAAGTGAAAGAAAGTTTTCCTTTCCCGCACAAGTAAGCTATAAGAATCATGATTGGAACTAACAAGAATTGCAAACGAAAAGACTGCGAAAAAAAAAGAACAACAACAACAACACCACCAAGAGATTTTCAAAATATCCCCAAAGTAGTTTTACTGGATGCAAGACAGGTCAGGAAATGGCTCACCTTTCTTTCATAATGGTATGCAATTTAGTAGTCCGAGGAACGAGTTACGAGTAGCTGCACACTTGAAAAGTTGAAATGAAATTGAGATCAGTTGCTTTTGATTACTAACCATTGATAAGCTTCAAAACTTAGCAGAAATCTCTTATTAAATAGCCGTTTCAAGAATCCTTCAAGGTTGATTTGATTAATATCACGTGATTTTCTTACTTTGGTTTTTTTAATCGATGTAAGGTTTCAAACTTTGTATGATTATTTAGTGTTTTAATTGAAGATGATCGTTGACGTTAATGCGGTGAGCTGTCTGATTTTTCGCTGTGGGTTTTGAGCACTGTGGGGTGAGTCATTGCCGCTAGCATTGCGCATAGCTCACTAGGCTTTCCTAGTTTGAGCACTCTGGCATAGCTTAGACGATACCACAACGATTAACAACGGCTGGCTTTCCTCGTCCTTCCCCCTCCAGCGGGGGGTTAGACAAGGTTGCCCGCTATCCCTACTGTTATACTGCCTCATCGTGGAAACCCTGGGGCAGGCAATCTGCTGCGATCCCAAAATAGAAGGCATCCCCATTCCGGGCTCCACTACTAAAACCTGCAAAGTGTCTCAGTACGCTGATGACACAACACTTATACTGGCTAACGAATTTTCTATAACCCGCGCTTTTAACCTAATTGACACCTTCGAGCGAGGCTCCGGCTCACGCCTTAATCCCAAGAAGACCGAGGGCTTATGGATAGGCTCCCAGGCCGGAAGAACCACAGGCCCCGTTAATATCACATGGGTAGCCGATAAGCTTAAAATCCTCGGGGTCTACTTGGGTAACGCTAACACAGAACAGGCTAACTGGGAGACTCGGGTTAAAAAACTCGAAAACCGTCTTAACCTCTGGCGCACTAGGACCCTGTCCCTAAAAGGAAAATCTATGCTCATTAACACGCTTGGAGCTTCGGGACTTTGGTACACTGCGACAGTGGTCAAAATGCCTGACTGGGTTCACACCCGCATNTAGCATAAGTAATAACGTAGAAGAGCTAAGTATCTTTGTTTACATTGCTAGGCTGAGCCATAACATTAGACCCACATGGACGAGCGTCTTACATACTAGATTACAAGGATCGAATTCAAGAGAATTGTGTAAAAAATATTATTGTTACCTTTTACACTTTAATTAGCTACAATTGTATAGTGAAATATTGTCTTACTTGTTGTGCAGTTAGTTCGTAACGCCGTAAGCAGTGGCAGAGACATAGCTATCTTCCCCTGGTAAATAGGTTCCGCAGTTCTGGAAAGGATCAAATTTATAACTATCTGTAAAAAATGGAAACGATTGAGCAACTGTAAGTGAACTAAGTGATGACGTAGAGTTGCTAAATTTTTGTGTTTAATTTCTTTAAGCTAGGCTCCCGTGGAGTAGTAATGAGCGTAAGAGATGAAGAGTACAGAAAATGAACATTTTGTTCTTATTCCTTCAAATCTAATCACATTGTCAGACATTCTTGTTAGATAACGCCGACTTGTACGCCGATCACAGCGATGGTCGAAAATCACCAACGAGAAGGCTGTAACAGGGCGGAGAGGACGAGAGCCTGGAACGAACTTTGGAATGGATTCTTAGAAAAAGGGATGGTTTTTTTTTTTTTTATTCAGTTAGTGATTGTAGACCCCATCTATATATCAATAATGAGGCCAAAAATGCTACCAGAATATTCAATTATCTATTACCTATGTTGTTCAACAGGTCACTTGACCATTTTGTTTTTAGTGTAATCGGTCTGAGTTTCCGGTATCTTGAATAAAAGCTAGTCATTGTAGATCTCATTGTAGACAGGTTACAGTAGGGAAGCTGACCCCAGCTCTATATCAAAGGAAGAAGTCAGAAATTCAATTAGTAACTTTTTTATTACTCGATTGTCAAACACACATTTTGTTTAACAGGTCACTGGACCATTCATTTTAATTGTCATCAGTCACATTTGAATTTCTTTATATCCTAAATAAACGCACCTGTTACCACATGTTAGTTTTAGTTTTTAATTACGCTTTATAGGGGGCCGCGTACCCGAGAAATAGTTTTGGTGATGCTGTCTATTTTTGTGGAATATATCAGTCCAACTAGTATAGGTAATACCATGATTTTGAGTGAAATATGCACTTTGTCTTGTCGAATTACTTATGGGATCCATGTCAGTTCCTTCATCACAACCAGTACAGGGGAGGCATAATGCATCGTTGACATATATCTTACAATAGGTAGCAAATAAAAAACTCCCGATCAAAGAAACATACCAAACAGTGCTTGTGGAATGAAGTATTTTCTATAGACATCTCGTTGAGTTCTGATACAATCCGAGTTCCTGAAAGAACATAATCATTTACAAAAGACCACTCTCTCCTGGTGTGAGATGTTTTTACATTTCTAGAAAGGTTTCAGTTAGTGCAAGACTAATAGTGACAAGTTACTAACAAACAAGAGCTGGTGAGTATAAGCTGGGAGCTGGCAAGTGATCAGATTGTTTAACCTGCAAGCGCGAGAATCATCGCAAGGTGTAATATACTGTGGTACTTAATGTTGTTCCTAGTTTCCTTGCTAATTGTACGATCACCGAAAGCACAAGAACGATCCTGTTTGTAGTAAATAAAGGTGTAGTCGAGGTTGCAGCAATTAAAGTTAATCTTTGCAACGTTTCTCGTCACATACATTAAAGTTGTGATTTTCTGGCCTTATTGCTTTTAAGCAATATGTGTAGCTAAGAGGCCAGAGTGTTTGATCGAACTCAACTATTTGAATGCCTGGTTCGTAACCTAAATCGATTTCAGCTAAGTCGAATAGCATTCCGAGAGGCAGTACACTATCCAGGGAATAAATTTATGGTCTAAAATTAAAACTTACCACAAAAAATGTTCAAAACTCTTCAAATGCAAACTTAACAATGAGAAGAACACAGCAAAGCAAGCCAATGTTTCCGTTTTCTGTAGCTTCCCAAAATTTGAGAAAACTAACTTTTAAAACTTCTGAATGTTTTAAAAAAGAAATTGATCACATTCAGGTTGAATTTGGTTCTTGATAGAGAAATTTAATCCAGAGAATATGAACTGTATATTAAAAGGACGTAAAGACAATAGAGTGACAATAACTCTCAAAAAAGAGACGACAACTTTGAGTTTAATTTACAAGATATGTTTCGACATTCTCATGTCATCTTCAGTTGCAAATGAGGTTTTAACGGTTGTACATTTGAATTTATATTAAGGTACGTTATTAATTACGTGTCAGGACGTTACAATTTGAATAGTAAATACGCGAAAAATGGAAATAGCGCGCGCTTGACTTGATAAAAAAAATTAAATAATAGTAATAATAATAATAATAGTAATAATAATAATAATAATAATAATTTTTTCCCACTTAATATGCTATGGCTCTTTGATCTTAATTTGGTGAGACCACTGGCCACATTTGTACACGAGTTCGTGAGCACCTCTTGTCGGACAAAACTTCGCATATTTACAAGCACCTGCAATCAAGAAGGGCCTGTCTTGACTCTTGTGATACTGAATGTTTCACGATCTTAGATTCTGCCGCTTCAAAATACCAAATTAAGATCAAAGAGGCATTGCATATTAAGTGGGAAAAACCCATTCTTAATCAGCAATTGAAGCTTTCCTTTTAATTATGTTGTTCCTTGGTCTTTTATTTTATTATAATTATTTTTTTTTTTGATCTAGTCAGGCGCGCGCTATTTACATTTTTCGCGTATTTAATATTCAAATGTAACGTAAGCCCTGACACGTAATTTGTATCGTACCTTAATATAAATCCAATATACAGCCGTTAAAAGCTACATGTCGATACATGTCTTGTAAATTTAAACTCAAAGTGTTCGTTTCTTTTTTGAGAACTTTATATTCTATTTATGTTATTGTACGGCATTACAATAAACGAGCCGGTTTAAAGAAAAAATAATTAGCACAAAAAGAAAAGAAAAACGTTAAGGTCATGTGACGCATTCTACGTCAGCGAGATCCTTAAAGCGGAGAACACGGTAAGTACTGTCTGTTCAGTTTTTTCGATATTATAGAAATTTTACAACTCGATCGTGCATCAGTTTTGATTCGTTGAGAAACGTCTTAGGCTTGAGTGCCTTTTAGCCAATGAATTGCTGATATTCACGGTGTGGCCCTCAAATAAAATCGCGAAAGTAAATCAGTGTTCCCCATCAAGATCAAAGTTCCCCATCAACGCCTCATCAGCAAATTGCAGTTTTATGGCATTCAGGGAAGCACCCTTACTTGGATTAAATCTTGGCTCACTAGTAGATCTCAAAGTGTCATAATTGATGGCGTGAGTTCAAAATCTGTTGATGTGACTTCAGGGGTACCTCAAGGCACGGTACTTAGTCCATTAATGTTTTTATTATTCATTAATGATATGCAAAATGAGCTAGGACGTACACTAAGATTGTTTGCTGATGATCCTTTATTGTATCATAAAATCACACAAATCCCAGGAGAGCGCCTCGCTGGCAGCACACGACCTTTCACTCTCCATGTTTTCCCTCTATTTTTTTAGAGAGATTTATTAATATTTTGAGTTTCAAATCTAGTCTAAACCCAAAAACATGGCTTTGACGTATTCAAGATCAGTACTTCAACAGTTATCGTCGTTTTCCCCGGCTTTATTAAGTCCATTCCTGTGGCGTCGCTTGACTGAGCACGGTATCACTCGCATAAAATCCACACGTCGGGGCTGCCGTGGCGGTCGCAGAAAGCGAGGTAACAGTGTATCGTGCCTAGGGACTGCAAGACAATTCCGTACCAACGTCTCTCCAACTCCAAAGGAAGATGATTCGATGGGTTCTGACCAAATTGCTGCACTGGACCACGAATCTAGTAATTTGCATAACCGCTCGTCGAGCTTCTTAAATATTCAAGGTAACACCTTTCAAACCAACAAAACAAACAACCCTTCCGTTCCTACTCCTTTGATTTTTACTGATACTATTTATCATGATCAGCATGATAAATAGTATCAGTCAAAATCAAAGGAGAAACCCTCATGATAAGGAACTAAAGTATGCATTAAATAACAAAAATATCTAGAGAAGCTAAGACACTTATTTTAAACTACATAAATGAATAGATTTATAAAATATTTAAAAACTATTGCCTTAAATTTTGGTAGACTGTATCTCTCGGATGTCTTTGTCGGTACTATGCCCTCCATGGTTTTTAAACGCCAAAGTTAAGGTGCACTTTGACTGCCTATATCTCCTGAAAGGTATTATGACAGCATTTCAAATTTTTAGGCATTTTAGAATGTTCTAAAGGGAAAACAGACGCATAAGGAGGGGAACTCAATGCACGGAGAGGGGAACTCTACCTACAGGGAGGGGATCTCGACCATAGGGAGGGGGGAATCCCGCTCCTAAGTAACCCTAATCTCTAACCCTAAACCCAGGGTTAGGCCTTCAGTGGTCATTTAACAGCTTCTCTCTTGGTCTGTATTAGACACTATGCAAAACCAAATTTTGACTGCGAAACCAAGCTGTTGCTCGGTTGGAATGAGCTGATGCAGTTAAGAGATAATTTCGCCCATTAACTGAACTTTGACAACATTGATTTGAGTGTCGAGTGTTGGCCTGAACTAGTTAGAACATGTTCCCTGTTTATTAAAATCTACTTCAACTTCATGAGGCGCTTTGCAAAACAAGTTCCAAGCTGGGCAAGAGTTCCATGTATCCTTAGGCATTAATTATGAATTCAGACTTTGCTCAATGAAAACAATGGCGAGAACAACAGAAAACCGCAGAGACTAGTGGTCTTTGTTTTAAAAATTTGGCTTATTCCCGGGGTAAAAACCTGTGAAGCTCATGAGTGACGTAAAAAAAAGACAACAAAACATTATAAACAATAGCATACAGCAAAACAATACCTCATCAAACAAAGAAAACCTTGTCAGGTTTTTACACGGAGGATGACCCCAAAAATTTTGATTTTCTCCCTAAGTATTTTTTGAAACAGGGTAAATTCTATGCGTTTCGGCTTTGCAAAACGACGAATTTAAGTCATTTTTCAGAGTAATCTCAATTTATCAACAAAGATGACATGATAAATTGGCCACCATTACGATTATAAAAGCTGACGTTTCGAGCATTAGCCCTTCGTCGGAGCGAAGGGCTAACGCTCGAAACCGGTCAGCTTTTACGCTCGTAACGGTGGCCAATTTACCATTTCAACTTTGTTGATATATTCAAATTACTTCGTTACCCCCACCAATGCAGCCCCATACAGTTTCTTCAGAAACTATCAGCTTTTATTCATTTTTCAGAGGTTTTTAATTTTGAAATTTAATTGAATATTCATTTTCGCCTTGAAAGCGTATGGTTGGCCAGATAATATGCCGAGAGAGGAGAAATCGCGCTTTGCCCTGTTGGTACCACTAATTATATTCCACAAGAAGAAGAATACCTCTTGACGATGGCTGACGTATCAAAAGTTCAACTTCGAGCTAAACTGGTTGTTCTAAGCTGCTGTCACAGTGGACGCGGAGAGACTAAAGTAGAAGGAGTCATTGGAATCGCTCGGGCGTTCTTGGGATCCGGTGCTCGTTCGGTGTTAGTAGCGCGGTGGGCCTTGAACGACGAATCGAC